ATACTTACTGTTTGAAATGGATAAAACGGGAAAAAGCTGACAAAAAATCTTTGGACTCTTTTTTTAATTCAGTAATGAACATAGTTGATATACGTATTCAACATTTTAAAGAACATTTTACTCTTAACAATAACCACAATAAACCTATTTCTCGTATCAAACATAAACTAAAAGAACTAGCCAAGGAATTTGTTTTTGTCCCGGCCGATAAAGCTGCTAATAATATTATTATTGTTTGACGTAAATTTTACATTGAGGTTCTGAAAAAAGAAATCACCAATTCACCAACATTCCAACTGACTCCATTTTCAGAAAACGACATCTGTAACAAACATAAACTTTTAGCTACCGCTTTACAAGCAGAACCAAATACAATGAAAGTCCCAACTATGTACTAGTATTGGCTTCCGAAGCTACACAAAACACCTTACAAATATAGATTTATTTCGTCTTCAAGCCATTGTTCCACTACTAAATTGTCTATTCTTCTTACCAGTACACTTGGTACAATCAAAAACCTGATAATAAATTGTTCAAATAAGGCCTTCGAAAATAGTGGAATTAATTACTTTTGGAGTGTCAAGAACTCGTTGGAAGTACTTGATAAATTACATGCATATATTGGTGATTTTGAATCTGTTCAAAGTTTTGATTTTTCTACCCTATATACCACATTGCCTCACATTCTCATTAAGAAAAAATTCACACACCTAATTAAATGGGCATTTAAAAAGTCAGAATGTGAATATATATGTTCAAACTCTTTTAGGTCATTTTTTAGTAGCAATAAACAAAAAAACTATGTCAATTGGACATGCTTTGATACTATATATGCCCTTGAATTTTTACTAGATAACATTTTTGTTCGCTTTGGAGATTCCGTATATCGTCAGGTTATCGGAATTCCAATGGGGACTAACTGTGCACCACTTATTGCGGACCTTTTTTTGTATTGATATGAGTTACAATTTATGACAAAAATCAGCAAAGACCCATCGAAACAACATCTGATACACAAATTTAATAATACTTTTAGATATTTGGATGATATTTTGGCTCTCAATAATGACGACTTCAGTATGTATACTAAAGAAATTTATCCTGTTGAACTTACTTTAAATAAAGCTAATACTAACAATGACCACTGCCCTTTCCTCGATCTTGATATCTATATCATTAATGGAAAGCTTAATACTAAAATATATGATAAAAGAGATGATTTTTCATTTCCTATCGTTAATTATCCATTTTTAGATGGTGACGTTTCCTTGTCACCATCTTACGGTGTTTATATATCTCAACTTGTACGATTCGCTCGTGTATGTAACAATGTTTTAGATTTTAACGAGAGAAATTTATGTATTACTGAAAAATTATTACACCAGGGTTTTCGATATCACAAACTAGTCAAAACATTTACTAAATTTTATCATCGGTATAAGGACATCATTCGTAAATATAGCTCAACATGCAGACTTCTTATACGGTCAGGTATTTCACATCCATTTTTTTATGGAAATATTCTTTATAAAGCACAAAAATGTCAGTACTCACCTCTGAAACTAACAAAACCTTTAAATAGACTTATTAAGAAGGGATATAGTTACGATACTGTTGTCAGGTCATTAAAGATTGCATATTTTGGCGTTAATATTGATTCACTTATAGGGTCTTTGCATCGGCACTAAACACATTTATTTAAAAACCAGTTGTTGGCATGACACGGGTTATGTTCTTCTCATATATGTTATGATGGTATGATACTAAACCCCTAACGGGAAGGATTGTGCCTGATATTCATATGATGAAGACATAATCCTTTCAATCAGTTTAATTGAAGTCTGGAGCTGGCATGTCAGTTAACTGCTAGTAGTCTGTTGTTATTTATGTATTATTGTCATTTTGTTTATTTTCTTTGGTTACATCTTCTGACATCAGACTCGGACTTCTCTTGAACTGAATTTTAATGTGCGTATTGTTATGCGTTTACTTTTCTACATTGGCTAGAGGTATAGGGGGAGGTTGAGATCTCATAAACATGTTTAACCCCGCCGCATTTTTGCGCCTGTCCCAAGTCAGGAGCCTCTAGCCTTTGTTAGTCTTGTATTATTTTTAATTTTAGTTTCTTGTGTACAATTTGGAGTTTAGTATGGCGTTCATTATCACTGAACTAGTATATATATTTGTTTAGGGGCCAGCTGAAGGACGCCTCCGGGTGCGGGAATTTCTCGCTGCATTGAAGACCTGTTGGTGACCTTCTGCTGTTGTCTGTTCTATGGTCGGGTTGTTGTCTCTTTGACACATTCCCCATTTCCATCCTCAATTTTATACGGTATGGTTGTGGTACCAACAACTATGTAGCTGGTATTTTCTAAACAATGCCTGTAATATAAAAAGTTCCTCTAAGTTTACACCAGTTGTATGTATTTATCGTACACATACATGTCTTACAGGATTAAAAATTCCGCTGCATGTGTATTTCTCTTGCTTTTATTCTTTGTGTAGTTTTTAAAATGCATACATAGAAAGACCAATTCCTATATGTTAACTTTGTCCCTCTCTCTTTCTTCTCTCTCTCTCTCTCTCTCTTTTTTTGTGAAAACGACGTGGATGCACGTGCTGCCGTGCCTCCGGGTAGCTACGCCCCTGGGAACTTCTGTTAGGTGGAGCAAATATACATTGACAGAATTACGCTGATTTTCAGTCTTGAGAACTTCTGTGTAGTATTTACGTCATATCACTACAATGTATATGTATCCAAATTGCACATTTCTAGTTGCTTTGTTGGTCGTAACGAACAAAAACGCTTTCCCACTGCATGCTTAAAGCTAATTTCTCGTCCTAATGGGGTTTTATATGTATTTCTGCTCAAGTTCAATTGGAAGCAACCCAGCAAGTATATAGGACATATGTTAAGACTGGTAGTACTTTTATACTAAGTGAGGTTGTTGCTTGTGGAACTAGTCCATTTTTACCGTGGAGCCCTGTTCCTAATTGATTGTACACTGTCCTCTAGCCTTTTTTGACTATTTTTAGAGGGTGACACAGTTAGCACAAGACTATCTTTCGTTGTGGCCTTCTGACAATTTAAAAAAATAAATAAATTAGATAAATCCATAGTAGAAACAGAACGCAATACTGGGGTAGGTAGTTCGATAAATGTATGCTTGTATAATCAGAGACATAGATATAAGAAGATGTGGTATGAGTGCCAATGAGACAACTCTCCATCCAAGTCACAATCTATAAAAGTAAACCATTATAGGTCAAAGTACGGTCTTCAACACGGAGCCTTGGCTCACACAGCACAGCAAGCTATAAAGGGCCCCAAAAATTACTAATGTAAAACCATTTAAACGGGAAAACCAACGGTCTACTCTATGTTTACTAGTATACGTCTTTCGAATAATAAAGTGTTTTCTTCATCATGTTTGATTTTGATGGCCCATGAGGCACAAACTAAAAAAATCCAATATTATCTGATCTAAGAGAATAACAAATGCCATTAATGAATTGATTTTAAAATATCTCATAAATAATCTGGAGCATAATTGTTAATACATTTACACATAAGTTTACCTCTGTCATATTCACTGAGTTTTATTCTTTAAAGTAAACCAACTAACCAGTCTAGAGGATATCTTGCGAACTTTAGCCGATTAACTTGCTCAGATTATGCCAGAGAGTTGTCAATATATTTCAAGACTTGACTTTATCTTATTCTAAATTATTAAACAATAAATCAATAGCAGCATCCAAATGTTTTGGTTTTTTTTTTATGACTGGAAACCATAGACATGAATTTAGTATTACATATTGCTGTCTGTTTTATAATTGTCGCTAAACGATATTCATGTAATTAGGGCAATCTTAATTGATTGATTGATTGCTTCAAATCTTGACAACTCGCCCCACTACCAAATCGCCCCACTTTTTCACCAACTCGCCCCACTTTCTAAAAAAATCGCCCCACTTATGAAAAAGGTTAAAATCCCGCTGAATAAAGGTTTGCTAACTCGCCCCACATATGAAAAAGGTAAAATCCCGTTCAATATATAGGTCTGCCAACTCGCCCCACTTGTGAAAAAAAGAATATCATCTTACTACATTAATGACTATCAACTCGTCCCATTTATGAAAAGGAGTTTAATCCCATTGAATAAAAGTCTGCCAACTCGCCTCACTAATGAATAAAAGAATTAAACTGTACTGAATTGATGAAAACCTTAGAAATGCATCTTGTTTATTTAACTCTTATCTTTTGGTTGAAATAATGCAGAAAGAAGTTAGTATCAGCATTTCTATGACGTACGATGTTATTGACTATTGTAAATGTTTATGACGTTTGTTTTCTGGTAAATGTAATCATTCACTGTTTTACTTGATAAGTCACCATGGGTGTTTATAATAATAATTAAGTTATTCTCCAATGAATACTAAAATTAATTAATAAAGTATCATTGAATTTGACTCTGAATCATAATCATATATTAAATTTTCGATTTTTATTAGTATCACAGGTGATTTTTTTTATTCTGTGTGCTTAGATAAGTTTCATAAGTGGGACAAGTTGGCAGACCTTTATTAATTTATATATTATCGAGATTTTACCCCTTTTCATGAGTGGGGAGAGTTGGCAGGAGTAAATTTTTGCGGAATTTAACCCATTTTCATAAGTGGGGCGAGTTGATAAACCAGAGTGGAGCGACTTTTTTAAAAAGTGGGACGAGTTGCTAAACAATATTGGGGCGATTTTTTAAAAAGTAGGGCGAGTTTGTGAATTAGTGGGGCGATTTGGTGTGGGGCCATTCAAGTTTCAGTGGGGCGAGTTGTCTTGCTTCCGTTCATGATTTAATTGATTGATTGCTCTGATTGCTTGTTTGCTTGCTTGCTTGCTTGCTTGCTTGCTTGCTTGCTTGCTTGCTTGCTTGATTGATTGATTGATTGATTGATTGATTGATTGAACTGAATTCCAACTTAGGCTTCCGGAAATCACTTATATGTGCTTCCGATATTGGTTTTAAAGTACTATCTCCCTGTAAACAAGATGGCTACGGATAATTTTGCGTAAGTTAAAAAAATTCCGTTGTATTTTTTCTCAAACAAGACAGTCAAATTACTTGCTCCATTAAATATAACTTATTGACTTTAAAATAATAATTCTTTTTATTTTTGTAGGAAAGGAAATGAAGAATTCGTGAATGAAAACTACGAGAAGGCACTTGAGGTAAACGGGTCATTGATTTACTGACAATAAAAAGAATATTCTAATTCTGTTCCAGTAGAAATACAGATTAATAATCCATAAGTTTAAGATGCATCTACTAATTGAACGGTTTGACAGATTTAAATTGTATGAATGATCAAATACCTTCAGAGAACGAAGATTCTAGAATGTTCCAAAAACAGGTTCATACAAGGTGTCAATGTATACCTACTTAGAATTATTTATATATATTATATCAAATATTATCGGATGCCCAATTGACCAACAAAGTGCCGAATTGACTTTAAATAGGTGCTGATTTGACCAGATGCCGATTTGACTTGTACCCTGTTAAATGAGTTATGATACCAGGTACCTCAAATTTCAGAAATACCTATTATCTACATACCTACCAACCTCTGAAACCTTCAATGAGGAAGATCTCCCCCTCAGCGCTATGACAGCTGAGGAGAAGATTTTGCGTAAACAACATTTTCAAGCTTAATATGTATGACCTGTACACTATTAGTCCAAATAATTATGATGTCTTAAAATAAATAAAAGGCTACGAAGCCGAAGGAAGGCGTCACAGAAAAAAATAAAAATAGCCTTTCAAGACATCATAATTATTTGGATTAGTATACTATATACATCTACAACACACCAACAAGAGTAAATAAATATACTTTATTTTTTTAAATCATTACCTTTGTGGTGTCCACTATGGTGGGCAATTAGCAATAAGGTATACTGTTACCTTACATCATTAATATGAGGCAGGCATTACCTGTGAAAGGGGACGAAGTCTGTATACATTATTTTTTAAATCATTCCTACATATTTTAACTTCAGAATCTGTTAAAAAAGAAAGGGAAATACGGAAACGTTTCCGATGTTGGTCCTGTTGTTAGGGATTTTAGTTGTGACGTCATTTTCAATGTAAACAAAGAAACGCTATGATTTCATTAGTATGTTGATTTTTATATTGATTTATAGTTTTATTGAATTGCTTAATGTTGGAAGGCACGTTCCCATAATATTTTACTCAAATCCTGAGATTAACGATACTGGAAAAGATTTGTGCACAGATGCAGGAAAATAAAAAAAGTTAGAAAAAAAAAGGAAACGATTTGAGTTCATTAGACTAGTAGATAGATTTTTTTTTTTTATTTTATTGATTTTTCAACTGTAATTGGGGACTTCGTCCCCATATTAATTGAATTTAAAGCATCTTACATACCTTGATTCGTTGTTCTAGTCATTTGCACACACCAGAATGAAGTTTTATGTTCTCTTCCAGCATCAAACTTTAACATCAGACATTTTAAAACTTTGCATGCTTCAGAATATTATCAAATTTGGATTTTCAGATGAACATTTTAGTGTTTTTTATATTATTGAAGAAATCACATATATCTCTGTCATATCTGTTGCCATGTATGAAATGTACATCGTTTTGATCTTTATAAGTCATCAATGAACTAAGGAATAGCCAATGGAAATATCATAATTTTGTTTCATGATGTTTGATAAGCGAATCAAATTAACACATTTTTCGTGTCTCACACTGTGTAGATTATATACAAAAAATATCTTTTCATGGTGGAAAACTTTCATCAAAATAAACTTTTTTTTTAAATGTGACTAACTTTTGTTGTAAATAAAATTTGATAAGAAAATTAATGTTAATGGTGTTATTATCCAGATACATGTATTCAGAAAAGTGGTAAATTAAAAAAGTTGTTGCTTTTCATCTAAAAAAAAATGCACTTTGCAATATATTTCAGAAGATCAGAAATATTCTTAATTTTTTATACAACCGCAAAAAAAATTTTGGGATCGTATAATGGTATGATGTCGTCGTCGTCATCTGCGTCGTCGTCCGAAGACACATTGGTTTCCGGACAATAACTTTAGTTTAAGTGAATGGATCTCTATGAACTTTTTAAAGAAGGTTCAATACCACAAAAGGAAGGTTGGGATTGATTTTGGGGATGATGGTTCCAACCATTTAGGAATTAGGGGCCCAAAAGGGACCAAAACAAGTATTTTTCTAGTTTCAGGATAATAACTTGTGTATAAGTATTTTGATTGCTCTGAAATTTGTACCACAATGTTTAATACCACAAGTAGAAGGTTGGGATTCATTTTAGGGGTTATGGGACCAACAGTTTAGGAATTAAGGGCCAAAAAGGGGCCAAAAACAAGCATTTTTCTAGTTTCCAGACAATAACTTGTGTGTAAGTGTATGGATCTCCCTGACATTGTACCACAAGGTTCCATATAACAAAGGGAAGGCTGTGATTGAGTTTGGGGTTAATTGCCCCAAACATGTAGGAATTAGGGGCCAAAAAAAACGGCCAAAAACAAGCATTTTTCTAGTTTCCAGACAATAACTTGTGTTTAAGTGTATGGATCTCTCTGAAATTGTACTACAATGTTCCATACTACAAAGGAAAGGCTGGGATTGAGTTTTGGGGTTATTGCTCCAAGGGGGGTTTCAAAAAGTTGGGGGGGGGGATTTTTTTTCCCAATTTTTTTAAGGGATTCATATTTTTTTTTTTTTAAATTTTTCAAATTGCAAATTTTTGAAAAGTTTCAAGAAGAAATCTTCAGTTGCACAGTATTGCGCAATAGATTTGTAAGATTTTTGACCACATTTATTTTGTGTCAGAAACCTATATTATGTCAAAAATTTGATCACAATCCAAATTCAGACAATATCAAGCTTTAATATTGTGTCCAAATTTGCCCAAACTGTTCAGGGTTCAACCTCTGCGGTCGTATCAGGCTGCGCTCAGCGAAGCATTTTATTAATTTTTTTGCACAATAAATGTACATTCCATTTGTTTGAGTAGTTCCTACATCAATAAAGACCACTTGCACAAACATATAAACTGTCTTATTCAAAATGGTTCTCATTACTGACAAACAGTGGATTATTTTGTCTTGCATGTGTTAACCTTATGGCTGGCAAACATTTTGTTTAGTAAGTCCCAGATTTGGCACTTACTTTAATTTGACAATCATGCTGCTGATATGTTACTTTTTTTAGAACCCTAAGTCAAGTTCAGATGAAGGGATATATATATTATATACTAATTTAAACCATTCACTTATTTAAATAATGAAATGTAAGTTTGATGCATGTATATTTCCAATATTTAAGTTATATACAGAAGCTTTAAAGACTGATGATGAGGACATGAGAGATGATTACTATGCAGCTAGAGCCCAAGTTCTGTTAAAACTGGAAAGATATTCAGGTATTTACATTATGATGGTAACAAGAACAAAATAAGTCTCTCTTTAGTGTTAAATTTTGTACGGAACTTAAACCTAATGAATAATAGATTGAAGAATAATTCAGGTTTATGACTATAGGCTATAAAGTTTTTAAGAACTTGAAAGGACTAATGTACACCTCATACATGTATTAATGTATATCATCTAGCAATTTTCATTTAGGGTACATCAAATTTATGGAAAAAAAGATATGTTAGGATATACATCAGTGGGTCAGCAACCCAATAACAAAAACAACCAAACGACATCCATTTATATTTAAGATAAGTGAATAGCATGGTTTGCAAAAATCAAGATGATTAGGGACCCTATATAGTCAAAGGTGTATTGGACAAAGGGCCAAACAAAACTATTTGGAAATATGTAATTTGTATACATACATGAAAATTGATAAACAGTTCCAATATGGATGAAAAGACATGTAATTAAAAATCATGCTAACTGCAATCAGCATATCAGACTTTTCTGGACAAAATACAGCCTGTATTCTAGGGAGAACACTGATACAGGGGCACAGTTATAAAAAACAATAGATATTCTACATTAATTTAACATTTTGTGAACTAAGCTCTTGTGTAATACCAAAAAAAAACAAACCCAAAAGGTCAGATGTCTGTCAAGATACATACAGATATTTATAACATTTTTATTGCTCTTATTTCAGAGGCATTAGAAGACACCAACAAATCAACAGAAATAAATCCAAAAAATTCCAAGGCATATTACAGGAGGGGGTAATTTTTTAACTGCTCTTAGATTGTATAAACATCACGTTTATGTCATATGCATCATTCCAATTATGCTAAATGCATCATTTAAATTACAATAAATTAAATTATGCTGAATGTGAATGGTCACACAAAATTATACCTGATAAAAATACATCTGTTCAGTACTAATTCACTGAAGTATGATGGTTACATTAGCGACTTTAACTTGTTGCTGTCTGCTATGAAGTGTGTTACAACTTTGCCTTATTTTCTATGGTTCACTCTGCTCAAGTATCACTAGATTATAATTGGTGTGTTTGTTGTTAACAAAAGTAACATTAAGATAAAAAGTAAGGAGATATGGTATGACTTCCAATGAGACAACTATCCACCAGAGACCAAATGATGTAGAAGTAAACAACTATAGATCACTGTACAACTTTCAACAATTAGCAAAATCAATACTGCATAGCAAGCTATAAAAGACCCAGACATGTAGGCATTTAGAGCTTGAATGCATTCAGGTAGATCAGGTGTCTTTTTAGGAGCATCCCTTCTGGGCATGTTGCAAAAATACTTTTTGGTTTGAAAATATTTTACCAAGTGTCATTCAATATACAACAAAAACATCTTGAACTTGATATTGAACTATAAAAAAATTAAGATTCGTTAAGTGCATTTAAAATTTTTAGAAAAATCCTTTTAAAATCAAGGGCAGATAATTATATTGAATTTGATACAACAACTTTTTTAAATTATTTTTCGAGAAAATAAGGCCTGGGACCCCTGTTATTATTTGATATTTTTGAAGTATTTACGAAAAGCAATTCTCTCACTGAGTATTAACATATTCTATCATTTAATGTTTCCTCAAGAAGGAAAAATTAAGTTTCCCTTATATAACCCATATAAAATAACTGAGATTTTGTTAATTTCAATGTATTTCAACAAACAACAAGGTCTGTAACACCCTGTTTTCGTATTGAAATTTAAAAGTACATTGACCAAAAAGTCTTTTACAGAAGTTTAATTGACATTAAACCATAATTATAAGATACACATAATTTAGTGTTTTAAAAGCAATACCTAATGTATTGACCTACATGTTTATCATAAGTAGCTGCTGTTTGAGATAGCTGTAAAAAAATTATTGAAATAATATTGAAATATTACTGGTAATGCCACATATTCAAATGATAGTATAATGTGGTTAAAAATCTTATCAAATTCTTTTTTTCCACAGCTGTAATACTTTGTAAAACTATTGTCTTCTGTGTTATTATTCCAGCATAGCTTTATTCCATCTAGAGAGATATGAAGATGCATTAAAAGTATTCACTGCTGGACATGTACTAAATTGTAAGTAGAACACAGGAATTTTATAAAAGTTTCTTTTTATACGCCCGTTTACGGGACGTATTATGGTATACCGTTGTCCGTCTGTCCGTCCGTCTGTCCGTCCGTCGTCAACATGTCGGACATTAACTAAAAAACGCTGTAACCAATTTGCATAAAACTTTGGTAAATTGTTTATATCTATTGACGTGAGCTCCCTTTTGTTTTTTATAAATTTTAGATTTTACGTTTCCGAGTTATGGGGTTTATTCATTAAAAAAAGGGTGATTTTCCAGTTTTCGGACAATAACTCAAGAATGCTTTCACCAACTTGCAAGAAATTGTGGTGAACTGTTTATATCTATTGACATGAGCTCCCTTTTGATTTTTATATATTTTAGATTTTACGTTTCAGAGTTACAGGGTTTTATTCATAAAAAAGGGTGATTTTCCAGTTTTTGGACAAAAAAACAAAAATGCTTTCAGCAGTTCTTATGAAACTTTGGTGAATTGTTTATATATATTGATGAAAGCTCTGTTTAGAATTTTATAAATTTTACATTTTACATTTCTGAGTTATGGGGTTTTATTCATTAAAAAAGGGGGGATTTTCCAGTTTTCGGACAATAACTCAAAAATGCTATCAGCAATTCTCATGAAACTTTGGTGAATTGTTTATATCTATTGATGTAAGCTCCCTTTACATTTTCATAAATTTCTAATATGACATTGAGAGTTAATTGAACTTTATTTGTCTATTATAGTCTGACAACAGATATACTAAGTATTGCGCAACAGCACAGTGTATTGCACAACAGCAAGAAATCTTTAATTGAATATAAATTCAATTCATATAACCAATTTCAAGTTCTTTGACAACATTTATTCAGAAACCAAAATATGTCAAATATTTAATTACAATCCAAATTCAGACCTGTATCAAGCTTGAATATTGTGTCCATTTTTGCCCCAACTGTTCAGGATTGGACCTCTGCGGGCGTATCCAGCTGCGCTCAGCGAAGCAGTTTATTTGAGGGTGTTACCGTGTAAAAGATTTCACTTTATAGATATATTCTTGGGAAGTAAGTAGCAGTGTTATCCCCAGGATTTTTTAATAGCACCAGGGTAAGCGTGACAACTAATTAGACATATTTTGCATCATGTCACAACACATTTCTCTATCCTTTCTCCTTATGGACACTTTCCAAGAGTTTTTTTTTGGGGGGGGGGGGGGGGGGGTATTTGAGTTTTGTTTTCTTTTGAACTGTGTTGTAGGATCATGCATTAATTAAATAATTAATAGGAATGAATTCTTTAATGTGTATGAAGAAAGAGTACAGGGTCCATGCATGAAATAGTTCTATGCCGGTTCTTATTTTGATTTTAATAACCGAGTTGTCCACTCTGACAGGGTTATCTACTTATTAAGTGACAGAGTTAAAAATCCACTGTTAAAAAAAATATATAAATGTAAAGTATTTGAATTGCACATAAAATTAAGTCTGTCATATATATAATATACTGGTCTGATTTCATTGGAAATATTGAAGATATTGTCTCTCATTTACAATACAGTACAGTACTATGTTCAATTCCCAAGCTGTGGTTGTCAATTGAAGCCTCTTTAGGGTCCAAACTAATTGTAGCTAATGTATCATACTCATTAAAGATCTTTAAATTGACTGCCAAACTGGAAGAAAAGTTTGAAAAAGAGAAGGAAATCTCTTTAAAAAAGACAGAAAAACATGGCTAGCTTGGACTGTGATTCATACAGAATAAACATGTATAATTATAAATTATTTTTATTTGATGGTCTAAATTTAATAAATTACAAAAAGGGGTGCAAAGATGTCACTTATTTCCCCAAAATGCTGGTAAAGATATGTAAATATGGATTGTCAAACAGAAAATATCCCTTAAAACATAAAAAAAAACAATCTTCATGATTCCATAAACCCTCTTTGAAGGCTATATTATTTTTCAGCTATCTAGAAATGAATTTTAATGCATAATAACTTTAATATTTGAAAGATCCTTCAAGGCCAAAATGCAATATCCAAAGCTCCTGTGTATTGCTACCTTTAATAATAGTAGTACTAGTACATACAACATTCAGGTGCAATACAGAATAGCAAAAAAGATATATGCCTGAACTTTAGTACAGTTTCATAATTTACATTACTATAATGCCAGTTCTGAGACTGAATAATTGAAAGAGGAGTTAAAATTTTTGCAGTGAATTTTATATATCTACCAGTTTTCTTTTTGTTAAATGTTCAAGTTCGTGTTTAGAGAAGTTAAAAATGAACCACTTATGGAAGGTCAATGGTATTTAGTATGCATTCCACTATTCTTAAACAAGACTGTAGTGCTACCTCAAGCACACTTGTAGAACATAACAGATAAAAATACATTTACTTTATATATAGGGACTATGAAGTCACTGCAAGGTCTTCAAAGATGAGAAACTTTCATAATTTATCAATTTAATATAGCAGCTATAAAAATGGCAGATGCTTAAACAACTTTATGGAATCATAATTGGCTCTTAAAATTGTCAATCTGATTTAAATACAGATCCTGTGTCCAGTTTCCATTTTCAAGGTTCTGACAAATGCTCCCTTCTATCTGTTTTAAAGACCATTCAGGAACCTCTGGTTTTGTTGTATAAATGTTACACGCCTTTAAAAGTTTGTAGGCAGGAATTTCACAAGCTGTTATAATAATTACCAATACAGAAAGTAAAAGGGATGTTGTCATATTCATGTACGCAAAGTATATGATCTCTGGTTTATAATTACCAATACATAAAGTAAAAGGGATGGTGTCATATTCATGTACGCAAAGTATATGATTTCTGGTTTAATCTCATAGCATGAATGTCAATGTGATTTTGAATTAAATTATAAAATATTTATAAAATGAAAGGTTTGAAAACCATAACATTGAAACATTCTTAAGTTGAACTTTCACTGTTTCCACTTTCAGTGAATGCACCATCACGACAATGTGAGTATTTGAAGACAAGGCACTTCATTTGAGGGTTATCATATATGTAGCTTCTGAAAACACAAATTTTTATGATTGATTGTTGTTTGTTTAATATCATATGGCAACTATTTAATGCATATTCAGAATGAGAACAAGCTAAACAATAAATTTGATAGGAAGATTCCTCAAACATGTCAAAGTTGGTTAACTGGGATGAAGGTTTAGCTGATGGAAAAAGGGGAATATTTTGATAAGGGACAAACAATTTGTCTTCCACATAACCTCAGTGTCATTGAGTTATATAAAGGGTTTTTTTTTGTGCACAGAAATTGGAATCTCACCATTGGGCATTAGGTTAAAGAGTCTAAAGAGTTCTACTGGGTGTGAAATATATACACCCTTTATTGCAAAATGGACACCCATAGACAGGTCTACTGCCATTACAAGATAGTCCATGTGACCACATCAGTATCTCAATTATCCCTTTGGTTGTCATGTTGATGTGGTAGCCAACATTGAAATTAAGCTTTGTAAATGGACTGTCAAAAATATATATTGTTATAACATATTACACTTAAGGGCTATTCCATTAAAATGTATGTGGGAGGGTAGGAAGGGACTTTCAAAATATCCCTACAACCAAGAACCATTTTTTAGATAATTTTGCATAATGGTAATCGACACATACTGAAAAAAGACCCATGACCCACATTCAATAATTAAACTTCCCTTCCTACCCTCCCACATACATTTTAATGGAATAGCCCTAAAGTAACATAAAAGAGTAGAAAAATTGGTAATAAGGGATATGATTAGTGACTACTGAGATCCAAGTATTATAGACTAGATTCCAGGATTCTGTCTTTCAACAGAAAGGAAAAATAGTTTCAGTTTTCCAGAAATGGCCAAAACTTTCAGGGGTTGATGTTGGTAGAGAACATGAGGTAAAATACTCTGGGGTTACTAAGGTTGCTTAACTTTTTGTATACCAATTTTAAAGGATTGAGGAAATATTATAACTGTAATTTCTTGAATACTTTATTTCTAAGTTTTGACAAACCTATAGAAAGTTTGGTTTTGGTTGAGATGGTATAAAGGTTAAGAGGGATTCATTTTAATTGTTAGAATTGCATGGAGGTTATGTTAGAATTTTGATTAAAATAAAGTAAAGTTTAGATTGGTTATGTAACAGTTGAAAATACATAAACTAAAAAAAATGAGATCATTATTAGTATTTATACAGCGAGTACAGGTACAATTGGTTGTCTTTTATATGTCATTCTGTTGCCTCTTTTTTTTAGCTGAAAACAGTAATTTCAATACCTGGATTAGAAAATGTGAAGCAGAGATAGATTGTAAGTAAAAATAGAATAGCCACTGTTTTAAAAGTACTTGTAGAACATAATAGTTTTTTAAAGATTCTATGCTTAATTCACCATCCAAGAAATCTGTTAATTCAAAAAGACAGAGAGGCATACATTGTTATTAATTTTAACAAATATTCTTACTATGTCCTCATTGTAGTAAAATATGATCAATACAGTTTAAATTATAGTTTACAATTGAAAAAATTTTGTTTTTGTTTTTAGCAGATTATTAACATTTGTAATTTTCCCCTCAATTTTGTTTTCAGTATCAAAACAAGAAAAAGGCAGTGGAGCTGAGGTAAAAACTTACTTTTAGATTTATTATATTCCCTATATTCATACAACTTTATGGTGGCTTAAAGAAACGGGGAAACCAACAATCTATGGCTAATCCAGTGCACCTTACAATTTCATGAGGTTTTATAGTATTTTCTAATCATTAATGCAGTTTAATGATGACTAACTTTGTTGGAGGAAGAAACAGGAGTTCACAAAAAACCAACAATCTTTAGAAAGAAATTGGCTGTTTAGGTGGAAACCCAGTTGAAATTAAACAAAAGAAGTAGAACTCTTTGTTAGAGAAGGTAAAAAAGCAAAATTGGTATATTTGAATTGTTTACATCTGTTTCTATGGGCTTTAAAAGTTTAATAAAGGTGCATAATTCAGGATTTTATGCATCTTATATACGTGTTTTTACTTGAATTATAGTATGGAGCTTTGAGATAATTGTAAACTTTTAAATTATAGACAAATTTTCATAAAACAGTCGATTGTGACAGGTTCAAATCCAAGTGGATCCATTTGTGCATGTAAGCATAAATTCAGTCGAAAAAAATTCCACAGAAAGATAATAGATTGATCTTTCTAAAGCATTAATTTGCATCTCTGCCCCCGGCGACAGTTTTTTGGGGGAAAAAATCTTAAAATGGGCAATAATTGCATCGAAAAGAGAAAGTCGAGTGCACCTTTTTATGTTCAGGCTTGTTTGAGTTGACTATTCTGTCTTGAAAACGTATAAAGCAAAAATATATGATACATCTTCTTGCTTCAGATTCTTTTATTTTTATATATTTAGGCTACAGGTTGATTTAATAACATTAAAAATTCACAGTGCTAAAAAATGAAATATATGGGTCAAGTGAAATACCTTTCTGATGAGTCATAACAACAGAGTAGGTGTGTTCAAATAAATTTTTTTTACTAAAAGTACTTGAAGACAAACTTTCCTACTGGATCTTAAAAATGCAAACTTCATTTTTTGTGTGTTATCTAGAGTTGTTAGTCTTCAACCTCTGAAAATATTTAGTCTGCCCTTCCAGGAAATATTTAATTAGAATTTTTTTAAATGTTGTTTGAACTTTCGAAAAATTCCACCTGACAACCGATCAGAAAATAGTTTTAAGTTGACTGAATACAGAAAAGTACATTAAATGATGCTCAATAGCTAGTAGATACATTTGTCTTTTAAAATGCAACTGGCATATAAGGATCTTAATGGTGCAAAGTGGATAAATTTATTGGTTTTCAAGAGCTAAATTGGCAGCGTGTCATTTATTGGTTTTCAAGAGCTAAATTGGCAGCGCGTCATTCCTACGATTGTAAAAATTAACTGGCGTAATGGGGAGATAATTTTGACGAAATAGAATCCTGACGAAGTAAATGAAGTAAATCATCTATACTATTCTTCTGACATGTGTTATTCCGTTTATACACAAGTATGGAATACTGGAAGTCACAAAAAATTGAAAAGACAGAAAATGCCTTCTGTCATTTGCTTTTCAGTTATTATGAAGAATAGAATAGCTATATATATTTGGTATACAGAATCCTTGTAAGGTATCCATGTATGTCAGACAGGGTTCACCTGACCTAACCTCATTTCATTGATCATTGTTAAGTTTTAGTTATTTTGGCTGTACAGTAAGCACAAGGTTATATATTTGGTGTATGTAATGTTTGATAGGTGTACCAGGTTGTATATACATCTGACAAGCTTCATCTGACATTCACCTCAATTTCATTGTTCAATGGGCTACATAAAATTTTTGGTGGTAAGGTTTGTTTCTCAGAAACTGTCATAGTATTAGCAATAGGTCAACTTCATTTCCTCTCCTCCCCCAGGAGGTGTTTTTTGTACTATCAAAAAGAAAATATTTACTGAATTGCTTAATAAAGTGTGGAATGATGCATTGCGAGTTTTATTTAGATACATTATATAGAGCTTCTGCAATTGTAAGATAGGAGAAATTAGGGATATATATATATTTTTAGGAAAACACCTATTTGTTTATTTTCAGGCCAGAGTTGGTGTATCAGATTCTTCACCAATGGAAATAAGTTCTTCAATAGAAAGTGAGAAAAAAACAGAATGTTCATCAATACCAAAGCCTAATCCTGCTGATGCTGTTTTAAATGCACCAGTTAAAGCTAAGTATGTATTATAAGTACACACAAAAAGCCTTGTTCCATAGTAGATGTTTTATGTATACCATTTAGACTTTCAGGATTTTCTATAGATTATTATATATCAGCTTTGGTATCAACCAGAGGCCATGGTGGCCAAGTTGTCTAAGTACTCAAACTACTGTATCACTGGCCTGGCAATACTGATGTTGTGAGTTTGAACCCTGCTCATGGCAGGTGCACTCAACTCCAATGTTAATTGCCTAGGATTGCTACCTACCGAAGGTTGTGGTTCTCTCCGGGCACTCTGGTTTCTTCCACCTATAAAAAATGACTGCCACAAAATAGTACAATAGTGCTGAAAGTGGCTTTAAACACCAATCAATCCTTGGTATCTACCAAAAATTTAGATCTTTAGTGGTTTAGAAGTATTGAGGAGGAATATATGCAATGATATGAAAATGAAATATCCCACAAGTGATATTGATACAGGTTTTCAATGTCTTCACCAAAAAACACATTGTCAATACATATTACATTTCTGATTAACCATAACTTTATTCTTTCAGACATGATTTATACCAAACACAAACACATGTTGTCCTTAGTATCCAGATTCATCCTTTCATTTCTGATTAATCATAACTTTTTACTTTCAGACATGATTGGTACAAAACACAAACACATGTTGTCCTTTCTATCCTGATTAATCTTTCATTTCTGATAATCATAACTTTTTACTTTCAGACATGATTGGTACCAAACACAAACACATGTTGTCCTTTCTATCCTGATTAATCTTTCATTTCTGATAATCATAACTTTATACTTTCAGACATGATTGGTACCAAACACAAACACATGTTGTCCTTACTATCCTGATTAATCATTTCATTTCTGATTAATCATAACTTTATACTTTCAGACATGATTGGTACCAAACACAAACACATGTCGTCCTTACTATCCTTATTAAAAATGTTCCTAAAGATGATTGTCATGTTGACGTGCAAGAAAAATCTGTGAGTATGGGTGGACAGATGAATGTTTCTTCAAATTTTATTGATTAGCATTTGTTGGATGCATTTATTGGGTGTAACACATACCTTTCAGGAGGTTTGCTCATAAAATTCAAAATGACATCATTGAAGTCGTTGGATTTCATGAGTAATAGGGAAAACTGACGCCAGGCGCTGTAAATTAAGTGTTTTGGCATTACCTACTTTTAAGAAGTCTTTGAACTTCATTGGATTATAAGTTTGTTTGTCTGTTTGTTGGTGTTTAACACCAATTTCAGCAACCTTGGCTGTATTATTGCGGCAAGTTTTTATTGGCAGGCCTCGACAATAACGCTTGTCCGATTGTCCGGTACCAGAGGAAAAAAAGGTCCGACAGGTAAAAGCTATATCAAGCTTGTCCGACGGGACAAGTAAAATTACTCTGCAGAAAATAAATTTAATCCAACTTTGATGAACAAAGTAATTATAAACAAAAAACAAGAAAAGAAGATAAAAACAAGTATTAATTTGACATGTTTACTTGCAATCGATACTTTAAAACTGGATCTTTGTCAGGTACTTTTTAAGAGGTTAAAGGCATACTTTCCTCGGAAACCAGTCTTACTTTTCTTGAGCTTTGTAGATAAGGTAACTTTTCAAGACAGTTCGTCACCAGCTCAGAAATGATTCGGCTCTAAATTTAATAGACAGTTTGGCACCGTAGGAGACATATTTAATAGACATGATTAATAGACAGTTTGGCTATGCAGGAGACATTTCGGGACCAAGACAAATCAGTACCTCGTTTTCGACCTTATTCTGTTGCTTTATATTAAATACCATACCGGTAATTTTTTTAACAAATAATATTTTTTAAATAAAAATGAAGAAATTATGTACCATTGCAGAGAGTTGTCTCATTGGCAGTCATACCTCATCTTCTTTTTTTTATTGATTGCATTTGAAAAAACTTTTTTCAACTTAAATACCAAGATACAAATCCAATGAGTGTACATTGACAGGCCTATCAGACGGTGCCTCATGTGCAGAGTCTGATGAGACTTTGGCATTGAAGAAAGCTAGAACCTAAGTACTGTGACATGACTAGATTCAGTTGTTCTCAACTCATATTTTTGAAAAGTATTTCAAAAGATATAAATCAAATTCTGTTCTATTGTTTTAATTCATTTTGTTCCTTGAATCAACTTAAAATGCAAAAAAAGGTTATTATTAACATTTTTTTTGGACAAGTTACAATTTCATTCGGACAAGTGAGTTTTTGTATGTACTTGTCCTACTGGACAAGTTGAAAAAAAAGTTATTGTAGAAGCCTGATTGGTATGGAAGATTCCCTGGACAGAACCACTGGTCTTTTGGTAGGAAAACTTGAAATTCTTGTCAAGATCAAAGCTTCGAGTGAGGTACAAACTCACAACCTCAGAGGTGACAGCCTAAGTAGTGCTCATTGTAAACAAATTTCCTGATGAGTGCTTCAAATACTGTGGATTCGTTATTATTCGTTGGATACCAATTTTCGTGGGTTTCGTGGGTACAGGTGAACCACAAATTAAAATGTTCAATAAATTACAAATTTTCTATAGGCTTTGTATGCACAGATTGGCAAAACCACGAAATCAAATATCCACGGAACATGCAAGTTTTCTTCAATCCATGTAAATCGATACCAACAAAATAAATGAATCCCCAGTATGTTAAAAAAAAATTGCAATAGCATATATTTCATTGAAATTATATTAGTACCTAGACCTGCTGCAATTAATGAAAATGAAAAAATTGCCAATGATTATTCCTAACTAGTTACTAACCAAAGTTTTATATTTACAGTTAAGTTGTACAGTAAAGCTACCTTCCGGGAATGATTACAGTTTAGAATTAGACTTGGCTCACAATGTTATTCCAGACAAAACACTTACTAAAGTTCTATCAAGTAAGGTAGGATCCATGTTGTTTTTTATACATCGCACTCAATATTTGTTTTGTTTTTATAGAATAAATAAGTTTTTTTAGCTTTTTTTTGGAGGGGGAGTCAAATTTTTTTTATAGAGAATATTTAAGTTTTTAATGTGATTTGTGTTTAAGATTTGAGATATTAAAAGTTATATTTAATTTTCATGAAAAGATAGTTTAACATGGAGTACCATGATTTATCAGCTGTAAAATAAAGATATGATAATACTTTGTATAGATTGAGATTAAAATGAAGAAGCAGGCAGAAATCCAGTGGAAGAAACTGGAGGGTGACGGACAGGATGAAGAAAAGATTAAACAAATACCTGTACAGAGTAAGTTTTAGGTTAAAGGTCAGCGTCTTACAAAGTTAAGTAAATACCTGTACTGAATTAGTAATGGTTCACGAGTAAATGTAAGAACGAACCAAAGCCTTTAACCAGAAGGATACAGATGAAGGTAAAAATTGTCAGAAAATTTCCAGAAAGAAAAAATCTGATATAACAGACTTTTAAATTCTTTGTACAAAGATCTTAGAAAAATAATAATTTATTACATTTTTTAAGATCCCACAGAAAAACTTAAGTCATTTTGAGAGAAAATGGTATAAAATAGACCTCATTTTACATACCAAATGGTATAAAATAGACCTCATTTTACATATTAAATGGTATAAGCAGACCTCATTTTACATATCAAATGTATAAAATAGACCTCATTTTACATATTAAATGGTATAAGCAGACCCCATTTTACATATCAAATGTATAAAATAGACCTCATTTTACATATTAAATGGTATAAAATAGACATCATTTTACAGATGAAATGGTATAAAATATATCTCATTTTACATATTAAATGGTATAAAATAGACATCATTTTACATATTAAATGGTATAAAATAGACATCATTTTACAAATGAAATGGTATAAAATATAACTCATTTTACACATTACATTGTATAAAATAGACCTCATTTTACATATTAAATGGTATAAGCAGACCTCATTTTACATATCAAATGTATAAAATAGACCTCATTTTACATATTAAATGGTATAAGCAGACCCCATTTTACATATCAAATGTATAAAATAGACCTCATTTTACATATTAAATGGTATAAAATAGACATCATTTTAGAGATGAAATGGTATAAAATATATCTCATTTTACATATTAAATGGTATAAAATAGACATCATTTTACATATTAAATGGTATAAAATAGACATCATTTTACAAATGAAATGGTATAAAATATAACTCATTTTACACATTACATTGTATAAAATAGACCTCATTTTACATATTAAATTGTATAAGCAGACCTCATTTTACATATCAAATGTATAAAATAGACCTCATTTTACATATTAAATGTATAAAATAGACCTCATTTTACATATTAAATGGTATAAAATAGACCTCAGTTGACATATTAAATGGTATAAAATAGACCTCATTTTACATATTAAATGGTATAAAATAGACATCATTTTACAAATGAAATGGTATAAGATATAACTCATTTTACACATTACATTGTATAAAATAGACCTCATTTTACATATTAAATGGTATAAGCAGACCTCATTTTACATATCAAATGTATAAAATAGACCTCATTTTACATATTAAATGTATAAAATAGACCTCATTTTACATATTAAATGGTATAAAATAGACCTCATTTTACATATTAAATGGTATAAAATAGACCTCATTTTACATATTAAATGGTATAAAATAGAACTCATTTTACATATTAAATGGTATAAAATAGACATCATTTTACATATTAAATGGTATAAAATAAACCTCATTTTACAGACAAAATGGTATAAAATATAACTCATTTTACACATTACATGGTATAAAGTAGACCTCATTTTTCACATCAAATGGTATAAAATAGACCTCATTTAACATACTAAATGGTATAAAATATACCTGTTTTTGTTTTTATACGACCGCAAAAATTTTTTTGTGGTTGTATATTGGTATGACATTGGCGTCGTGGTCGTCGTCGTCGTCGTCGTCGTCCGGCGTCGTCGTCCGAATACGCATTAGTTTTCGCACTCTAACTTTAGTTTAAGTGAATGGATCTCTATGAAATTTTACCATAAGGTTCAATACAACAAAAGGAAGGTGGGGATTGATTTTGGGGGTTATGGTACCAACAGTTAAGGAATTAGGGGCCAAAAAGGGGCCAAAAATAAGCATTTTCTAGTTTCCAGACAATAACTGTGGAACGGTGTATGGATCTCTCTGAAATTATACTACAAGTTTCCATACCACAAAGGGATGGTTAGGATTTGCTTTGGGGGGTTATGGCTCAAACCGTTTAAGAATTAGGGGCAAAAAAGGGGGAAAAACAAGGTTGTCCTGGTTAATGGACAAATACTTTAGTACTAAACATAATTTAAAGCAGTGTAAGGGAGATAAATCAAATACATCATTGAAATTATCTCCCTTACACTGCTTTTAAATTATGTATAAAGTAATGGTTAATGAACAATTAAGATAATTTAAAACAGTGTAAGGGAGGTAATCCAAATACAACGGTTTGGTTACTTCCCTTACGCTGCTTTTAAATTATGTTTAAAGAAATGCATATTTATAAAGGAAGACCAGTAAAAATATCTGCAAATGTTGCATCTTTTTTTTTTCAAAAAAATCCATATGAAAGATTTGACACTATATTTTAAATTCTATTATAAAATAGATTAAGTTAGCACTATGGTAAATTAAAATGGGTAATTATGGTTTGGGGGAAAAAAAAGGGGGGGGGGGGGGGGTAAAAAGAAATTGTGGGGGGTAAATTTTTTCTCATTTCAGATTTCAGAAATTAAAAAGAATTATTCTTCAAATATTATTTTTTTTTCAAATTTCAAATATTGAAAAATTTCAAGAAGTAATCTTTAATTGCACAGTATGGCGCATTAGATTTGTAAAATCTTTGACCACATTTATTTATTTGTTATGCCGAATCTAACCGTGTATTTAGATTTTTAATTTTGGATCCAGTTTTCAAATTGGTCTACATTAAGGTCCAAAGGGTCCAAAATTAAACTTTGTTTGATTTTAACAAAAATTGAATATATGGGGTTCTTTGATATGCTGAATCTAAACATGTATTTAGATTTTTGATTTTTGGCCCAGTTTTCAAGTTGGTCCAAATTGGGGTCCAAAATTAAACTTTGTTTGATTTCAACAAAAATTGAATATATGGGGTTCTTTGATATGCTGAATCTAACCATGTATTTAGATTTTTTATTTGTGGACCCCGCTATCAAATTGGTTCATATTGAGGTCAAAAGGGTCCAAAATTAAACTTTGTTTGATTTCATCAAAAATTTAATTATTGGGGTTCTTTGATATGCCAAATCTAACTGTGTATTTAGATTTTTAATTTTGGGTCCCGTTTTTTAAATTGGTCTACATTAAGGTCCAAAGGGTCCAAAATTAAACTTAGTTTGATTTTAACAAAAATTGAATTTTTGGGGTTCTTTGATATGCTGAATCTAAACATGTGTTTAGATTTTTGATTATGGGCCTAGTTTTCAAGTTGGTCCAAGTTGGGGTCCAAAATTAAACTTTGTTTGATTTCAACAAAAATTGAATATATGGGGTTCTTTGATATGCTGAATCTAAACATGTATTTAGATTTTAGATTTTTGGCCCAGTTTTCAAGTTGGTCCAAATTGGGGTCCAAAATTAAACTTTGTTTGATTTCAACAAAAATTGAATATATGGGGTTCTTTGATATGCTGAATCTAACCATGTATTTAGATTTTTTATTTGTGGGCCCGCTATCAAATTGGTTCATATTGAGGTCAAAAGGGTCCAAAATTAAACTTTGTTTGATTTCATCAAAAATTGAATTATTGGGGTTCTTTGATATGCCAAATCTAACTGTGTATTTAGATTTTTAATTTTGGGTCCCGTTTTTTAAATTGGTCTACATTAAGGTCCAAAGGGTCCAAAATTAAACTTAGTTTGATTTTAACAAAAATTGAATTCTTGGGGTTCTTTGATATGCTGAATCTAAACATGTGTTTAGATTTTTGATTATGGGCCCAGTTTTCAAGTTTGTCCAAGTTGGGGTCCAAAATTAAACTTTGTTTGATTTCAACAAAAATTGAATATATGGGGTTCTTTGATATGCTGAATCTAACCATGTATTTTTATTTTGGACATTGGACCATAATAGGTAAATTAAAAAAATTGAAGTTCTTAGACCACATTGTTTCTGTGTCAGAAACCTATGCTGTGTCAAATATTTAATCACAATCCAAATTCAGAGCTGTATCAAGCTTGAATGTTGTGTCCATACTTGCCCCAACTGTTCAGGGTTCGACCTCTGCGGTCGTATCAAGCTGCGCCCAGCGAAGCATTTTATTTGCATCTTTAATGGTATAATATAGACCTCATTTTACATATTTTAAAATGGTATAAAATAGATCTCATTTTACAGATTCAATGGTATAACATAGACCTCATTTTTCATACTAAATGGTATAAAATAGACTTGTTTTTTGCATCTATAATAGTATAATATAGACCTCATTTTACATATTAAAAATATTTCAGATCCTACTGACACCACTCATAAATATCCAACTTCAAGTCATAAAACACGTAACTGGGACAAGTTAGAACAAGAAGTGAAAGAAGAAGAGAAGACAGAAAAACTGGAAGGAGATGCTGCTCTGAATAAATTATTCCAGCAGATCTATTCTGATGGAACGGACGAAACAAAAAAAGCAATGATGAAATCTTTTGTAAGTGCCTCCATCAATACATGATAAACAATTGGTATATCTTACCATGTTAAATCAACATACTAAAGCCCCCTAGAAGTAAAGCCTTCAAGACGATAAATCTAACTATATAAATCAACATAAGTGACTTGGATGGAGAGTTGTCTCATTGGCACTCATACCACATCTTCTTATATCTATATAAGTGTTTGATTTGGGTGTAGGACAAAAGCCTCTAGACAAAACACCACAGACAAAACACTACAGACAAAACACTACAGACAAAACACCAGACAAAACACTCTTGACAAAACACGCCAGTAAAAAGCCCTAAAAATAGGATTATGTATCATCTTTTCATTTCAGCAATATATACTGAGAGTCATTTTCAATTTGGTTTCATAAAGGAAACTAGACCTGAAGTCAACAAGTTTATTAGTTAAGCACTACGTATTTAGACACATAACAAGAAGGTTAACATCAATAAGACTATTTAAAACTATTTTAAAATAGAAAAATAAGGAGATGTGGTATGATTGCCAGTGAGACAACTATCCATTGGACATCAAAGAAAGAGAATATGAATAACTATTGGTCACAATTTGGCCTTCGCCAATGAGCAAAGTTCTTATTGTAAAGTAAGCTACAAAATGCCTTGGAATGACAAAATGTAAAATAATTCAGAAGAGGAAACCAAAGGTTAACTATGCTAAAAATAATTAACTAAAAAAAAATATGTTAGACAGCAATCAACAGCAATCACTGAAACAGTTTTTTAAATCAGGACAGACACAAAAAGAAATTGGAGGGTTAAACATGTTTGTTAGCATTCAACCCTCATTTAACCTGTGACACTGGTGTAAAAGCACAGCATTGACTTATAAAATCAGCACAACACACTCCAAAAAATGCGACTTCAACTTGTAAAAGTATTTAATTTGTTGATCACATTTTCATAGTTCATCCTTATCACTAGGTTTTTGTGATTACATCAGGTTTTATGTAGCTATAAAAAATCTTTATGTTTTGTGATACCTTTATAACAACCTTGATCTCAAAGACTTGTAACATAACTCCAGTTATTATCAGTAAAACAGGTGAGATATTTCAGCATAGTAACTGTTGTTTGTCCAATTACCTGTGTTTATGCCAAATGGGATAGTCATGACATAATGAGAATTTTATTAAACAAATTTGATATTGTAAATTTATATCTTTATTACAGAGTGAATCTGGAGGAACAGTATTGAGTACAAACTGGGGTGAAATTGGGGATAAAAAGACTGAAGTCAAACCTCCAGATGGAATGGAATATAAAAAATGGGAATATTGAACGAAAAGAATTTACTATTCATTTTTGAAGTTTTATGATATGTGAAAGAATCGGAAAAAGTCTAGGCTTTAAGATAAAATGTAGAAATACCAACTATGCAAATTCTGTAATAAGACTTCATGTACAAAAGATGTAAATGATGGCTGAATTTAATACTGTGGACTAAGATTTTATGCTTTCTATTTAATGATATCATTGAATAATGAAATGTTCTGTATTAAAGACAAAAAGTGATAATTTTAATAAAATACCTATGATAAATTTGGGATTCTCAATTTCTGTAGGTTTGTTTTCCATCTATACCCACTTTCAATAGGGGTGAACGAGCCATCCTCGTAGGTGACACAGTAACACGTATTACACTCCTGCTTTGAAGGCGGTTAAGTTAACTCTGATCTTTGTCTGATGATACTTTTGTCAAGACTTCAAATCATAGCCACCTTAAATTTGGTATGAAGCTTCATGTGAGCATGCTTTAATGTGTGATAAGTTTTACATTCGTTGATCATTAACTTCCTGTTTACTGAACACCTATATATTGTTATACATAATAGCAATGTATGAAATATTCCTTGCATTTTTCTCAGGAACTGCCTATCTGAGCTTCCTGGTTTTAGTATAAAGCTTCATGTGAGCATGATTAACCAAGAGATATGTTTTTACATCCATCACTCATCAACTTCCCGTTTACTGAATACTTATAGAGGGTTATCATTAGTGAGCAACAGTTATATTAAAACTAGTTATTTATTAATTTGCAAATGAAAATTATTGTTAAATGATATTGTCATGGGTCATGTAACAAATGAAATACAGATATTTATCTTAAACGTGAATTAATTTGTTTAAAAAGAAAGAATTGTACTAGAAAACTATTTATATTTGCTCCAAAGGTGTAGTATGTCCTCATATGTGAAATGTATTATGCACACCTTAATCTAAATGTCATTATTTTTAAATTTTAAGGCTATATTGTTTTACAATATAATTACAACTGCATATTAGGTTCTTTCCTTATGGAAAGAAAAAAATTGACTACAAATTATTAGTTCATTCAACTCAAATTAAATTTATGTTATCTTGATAGTGAATGTTGGTTTTGATTGAAAAAATTATACTGATTGAAACACTATTGTTTAATCTTTAAAAGGTTTCTTACATAATCTGACTATTTTGTATCTGATTTGAAGTTTTTTGTCTTTGTTTTATTATCATATTTATTACATTACAATCACTTATCTGTTATGCTGTGTCATCAAATAAATCCTATTTATTTATCTCAAATTTTATATTTTATATTTTCCTCCAATTCTGCTTTAATTAATACCTATCTTCACCTATTGTTTTTCTTCCAAAAAAATAGCACATGTTTGCTGGTTCTAAGATTTTCATTGATAATTTGATATAGACATCGATTTATTTTGCTGTTCTTTAAGCAATCCCCATCATGATATTATGAAAATAAGTTGAAGGTTATATGTTTTCATTGGACAGCATGCCCTGCTTGCATTTTAGTGTACCTGCATTAAAGGAGTTCACCTGAGATTCCCTGCATGTATACAGAATACAGTTTGCTCTACAAATCTCCTGTAGGTCTGCTTGAATGAAATTCTAGATAATTGGTATAGACCATGTTTGAGCAAAAAAATCCATATTGGATGATTTTAACCGGATTTTCGAAAGAAAAATCGGTTATTGATCTGGGGATGTACGGCAGGCGGGTGGCTGCCAAACAGTGTCCATTCATTAACATGAAAGCTCTTTGGCGAAATATTTTCAAATTGAGATATTTTGTTTCCTGTGACTAAATGAAGGTCAAGTTCAATTTTCATGATTTTAGCTTTTCTCGTTGTTGAGTTGTAGACCTTTAAGTAGCAAAAGTGATTCTTATTATATGATTTTGAGTTATTTCCCTTTGAACAGAAATGGTGTAATTGATAAGTAATTTCTATGTCATTTGGTCTCTTGTTTATTTTGAGTAATTTTTCCTTTGAACAGAAATGGTGTAATTAATAAGTATTTCATCAAAAATTGACTTCTCTGGGTTCTTATACGACCGCAAAAAAATTTTGTGGTCGTATATTTTTATGACGTTGGCGTCGTCGTCGTCCGAAGACACATTGGTTTTCGCACTCTAACTTTAGTTTAAGTGAATGGATCTTTTTGAAATTTGACCATAAGGTTAAATACCACAAAAGGAAGGTTGGGATTGATTTTGGGGGTTATGGTACCAACAGTTAAGGAATTAGGGGCCAAAAATAAGCATTTTCTAGTTTCCAGACAATAACTGTGGAACGGTGTATGGATCTCTCTGAAATTATACTACAAGTTTCCATACCACAAAGGGATGGTTAGGATTTGCTTTGGGGGGTTATGGCTCAAACCGTTTAGGAATTAGGGGCAAAAAAGGGGGAAAAACAAGGTTGTCCTGGTTAATGGACAAATACTTTAGTACAAAACATAATTTAAAGCAGTGTAAGGGAGATAAATCAAATACATCATTGAAATTATCTCCCTTACACTGCATTTAAATTATGTATAAAGTAATGGTTAATGAACAATAAAGATAATTTAAAACAGTGTAAGGGAGGTAATCCAAATACAACGTTTTGGTTACTTCCCTTACACTGCTTTTAAATTATGTTTCAAGAAATGCATATTTATAAAGGAAGACCAGTAAAAATATCTGCAAATGTTGCATCTTTTTTTTTTACAAAAAAATCCATATGAAAGATTTGACACTATATTTGTAATTTTATTATAAAATAGATTAAGTTAGCACTATGGTAAATTTAAATGGGTAATTATGGTTGCCAACTCCATTGGAAATTTGAATTGAGATTATGACCATATCTTGAGGGAAAGAATTTTTTGGGGGAAAAAAAGGGGGGGGGGGGGGTAAAAAGAAATTGTGGGGGGTCAATTTTTTCTCATTTCAGATTTCAGAAATTAAAAAGAATTATTCTTCAAATATTATTTTTTTTTCAAATTTCAAATATTGAAAAATTTCAAGAAGTAATCTTTAATTGCACAGTATGGCGCATTGGATTTGTAAAATCTTTGATCACATTTATTTATTTGTTATGCTGAATCTAACAGTGTATTTAGATTTTTAATTTTGGGTCCAGTTTTCAAATTGGTCTACATTAAGGTCCAAAGGGTCCAAAATTAAACTTTGTTTGATTTTAGCAAAAATTGAATATATGAGGTTCTTTGATATGCTGAATCTAACCATGTATTTAGATTTTTTTTGTGGACCCCGTTATCAAATTGGTTCATATTGAGGTCAAAAGGGTCCAAAATTAAACTTGGTTTGATTTCATCTAAAATTGAATTATTGGGGTTCTTTGATATTCCAAATCTAACCGTGTATTTAGATTTTTAATTTTGGGTCCTGTTTTTTAAATTGGTCTACATTAAGGTCCAAAGGGTCCAAAATTAAACTTAGTTTGATTTTAACAAAAATTGAATTCTTGGTGTTCTTTGATATGCTGAATTTAAACATGTGTTTAGATTTTTGATTATGGGCCCAGTTTTCAAGTTGGTCCAAGATAGGGTCCAGTATTTAAACTTTGTTTGATTTCAACAAAAATTGAATATATGGGGTTCTTTGATATGCTGAATCTAAACATGTATTTAGATTTTTGATTATGGGCCCAGTTTCCAAGTTGGTCCAAATTGGGGTCCAAAATTAAACTTTGTTTGATTTCAACAAAAACTGAATATATGAGGTTCATTGATATGCTGAATCTAAACATGTATTTAGATTTTTTATTTGTAGGCCCCGCTATCAAATTGGTTCATATTGAGGTCAAAAGGGTCCAAAATTAAACTTTGTTTGATTTCATCAAAAATTGAATTATTGGGGTTCTTTGATATGCCAAATCTAACCGTGTTTTTAGATTTTTAATTTGGGTCCCGTTTTTTAAATTGGTCTTCATTGAGGTCCAAAGGGTCCAAAATTAAACTTAGTTTGATTTTAACAAAAATTGAATTCTTGGGGTTCTTTGCTATGCTGAATCTAAACATGTGTTTAGATTTTTGATTATGGGCCCAGTTTTCAAGTTGGTCCAAGTTGGGGTCCAAAATTAAACTTTTTTTGATTTCAACAAAAAATGAATATATGGGGTTCTTTGATATGCTGAATTTAACCATGAATTTAGATTTTTTATTTGTTGGCCCCGCTATCAAATTGGTTCATATTGAGGTCAAAAGGGTCCAAAATTAAACTTTGTTTGATTTCATCAAAAATTGAGTTATTGGGTTCTTTGATATTCCAAATCTAACCGTGTATTTAGATTTTTAATTTTAAGTCCCATTTTTTTAAATTGGTCTACATTAAGGTCCAAAGGGTCCAAAATTAAACTTAGTTTGATTTTAGCAAAAATTGAATTCTTGGGGTTCTTTGATATGCTGAATCTAAGCATGTGTTTAGATTTTTGATTATGGGCCCAGTTTTCAAGTTTGTCCCAAGTTGGGGTCCAAAATTAAACTTTTTTTTGATTTTAACAAAAATTGAATATATGGGGTTCTTTGATATGCTGAATCTAACCATGTATTTTGATTTTGGACATTGGACCATAATAGGTAAATTAAAAAAAATCAAGTTCTTAGACCACATTCTTTCTGTGTCAGAAACCTATGCTGTGTCAAATATTTAATAACAATCCAAATTCAGAGCTGTATCAAGCTTGAATGTTGTGTCCATACTTGCCCCAACTGTTCAGGGTTCGACCTCTGCGGTCGTATCAAGCTGCGCCCCAGCGAAGCATTTTATTTGATATGTACTTAGATTTTGGAAATTGGACCATAATAGGTAAATGTCCAATTTCAAACTTTTCAGTTCTTTGACCACATTCATTTTGTGTCACAAACCTATCCGGTTTGCTGTCACTCTGACAGTCTCTTGTTATTATATTGATGGGGGATAGGGTCATATGTTTTTGTTTGAATAAACTTGAACTTTTCCTGTACTGAATATTTTATTGATTTTTTGGTGATTTAAAGCAAAAAGTGTACCCATACAAGTTTTGTTCAATGGAGATGTACTAATGTTAGCCCACCCACATTTTGTATGTTGTTGTGAATCATATTACTTTTTGATTTATTGTTTTGTACATAAATCAGACTTTAAGTTTTCTCTTTGAATTGTTTTACATTAGTCATGTAGGGGCCTTGCAGTATTGTTTTTGGTGGTTTAAGGCTGTGCAATGGCATTTAGTTGCTTACTGCTACGTCAGTTAGTCTCTGGTGGATATTTGTTTCATTCATTGGCAATCATACCACATCATCTTATTTTTATATAAACTCAGTCTCTGATTATTACTTGGTGGGTAATGATCTAATAAGTAAGAGATTAGTTCTGTATTGAGAACAGGTGATGTTGGGTATATGACTATTGAACAATAACCCCACAAAATGTTAGGAACCATCGGGTCAACTTTCCCAGAGGGAGTTGCAGACTTAGTTTTATGATGGTCACATAATTCTTTGAACAGAAGCTCTTGGGGAAAGATATCCCGTGGAACCTGTCAACTTTGCCTGAGGGAGTCGCCAACTTAGTTTTATGATGGTCACATAATTCTTTGAACAGAAGCTATGGGGGAAAGATATCCTGTGGAACTCAACTGATGAACAACCAGCAACAGACCCTACCCAATAGTAATTAACAAAAACATGATTTCTGTGACTAAAACTTATGTTTCTGGAATAATTTTCATCAGATATGCTAGTGGCCAAAAGTTAGGAAGTCAAAAAGATAAATTGAAAGCATAAAAACCAAAAGGGATTAATCAGATCATCAACACTGGTTTAAGGTCAAATTTGTTTGAGGGAATTGCAATCTTAGCTTTGGAAGAAAAAGCATTTAAATCATTTGAATACTGAAACACTTGCCACTGAGTCTATGGTACCCTCAGTGAGTTACCAACAATTACACATTGGACAAGATGTGCAATATTACACCCTTATTTTGTCCTTTCATTAGATACAGTAAGGTGGAAAAATTATTTTCAATGTATATGTCCTAATATACAAAGACAATAACTGCACAATCTGGTGCAATATTTAGGTAAGGTAGGTACGGATTCTCACATGCTAAATGTGCATAGAACTTTGAACCCACCTCCTCTTTTGTTGAAAAATCTAATGCCATCAACAGTATCACAACTACATATATAGTAAAAGAGTTATTTTTGACAGCATTCAATATAAACGAAATGAGATGGTGGATAAAATTTCATGGGATAACAATCCAACAACACAAATATGACTGAAAGAGATGA